TAATATAATAACGGTTTTGTGGTTTAACGGTTTTATTAATATAGTTTGGTTTTTATAGGATTTATAATTTCGATTATCTTTTATTTTTTCAAAAACTTTTTAAGAACATATTCCGATATGCCATGCCTCTGATTTTGTTATTTGTTATACTTTTTTTTCTGCTATGCTTGATAACCCTGGTTACAAAAGTTCGGCAAAATCTTTGAGCAGTTAAAACTTTTTGTATTTTTAATTTTTCAGCTTTCTTTTCTTTGTTGTTTTGTTTGTAAATTGTTAGTTTTCTTTTACTAAAATTTTTGTTCGTTTAGATTAATTACACTTAAAAAATTGTCCTACAATGAAGCCGACTACTTTAATTGAACAAGTATTGTGATTTGCACCCTAACGTTAAATCTAAGAACTTCAAATGGAAATATTAAAAAAACTTAGGATGAAGAAAGTTATTTGGGATCAAAAACTGCAAATCAAATAGTTAATCTACTCAAATTATTATAAAAAATAAAGACTACAACAATCAAAAACCAAAAAAGTTTTTCACATTATTACTTCAAAAAATAATTGTCCTAACCTATTTGAAACTTATTTAACTGATTTCAACAACGAAATAACATTTAAAGAACTAAAAATCTCTTAAGATAAATAAGTTTCCAAGTATAAATAATATTTGTATTAATGAATATGTCTTTTTGGATACGCAAACCCGGCTTTTTAATCATTGATTAAAAAAGTATTTTATTATAGATTGATGTACTTATATTTAAAACCAAAAAAACATTTTTATTAAATTACAGATCAATCTTCCGATCTTCTTAAAACTACGAGTTTTTCCAATCTTCCTAATTCTATTTAATCCAATCGTTTAAAACTTATTATATGAACATCTATATCAAAATATGAACATATATATCAAAATATGAACATCTATATCAAAATAAATTCTTAATAAACAATTCGGTTTTCAAACACAACACTAAACCGAACATGCAAACCTAAATCTAGTAAATAAAATAACAGATTCTTTTGATAAAACTAATTTTTGCAAGGAACGTTTATAGAACTCTTCAAATCATTTTACACTGTTAATCAAATGACATAAACTTATTAGGCCGGGTGAATAAAAACGAGCAATTGCTTTACTCAGTAATTGGTCAGCTTTACGTGAATAAAAGTTTAAGCAACTTGCTTGAGTTTTTAGTCACGTAAAACTGAACAATTACTGAGTAAATTGCTTAACTTTACTTGAATAAAATTTGACCTAAACTACTTTTTTAATTTAAGTTTTTATTCACGTAAAGCTGACCAATTACTGAGTAAAAGCAATTGCTCATTTTTATTCACCCGGCCTATTTTCTAAATTTTTTAAAGACATTATTAAACTATGACCAGCAGAAAAGTAATTTGCCAAAAACGCACCCGTCATTAAAAATTAGTAATGTTAACATCAAAAGAACTGCGACAATTAAATTTTAATGAACGATTATTGACAAATAGATTTCTAGGAAGGCCTATGTAAATTCTATGAATACAAAAATATATAGTATATATAAATTTATTTTACATACGCAAATATTGCAGGGGATGTACAAAAATACTGGATACGAAAAACATTGCAAAGGATATATGTAAATACTGCATTGAATGTCTTTATTTCAGAATTATTTATTTCAGATATGTAAATACTGCATTGAATGTCTTTACTTCAGAAATATGCATTAAGATTGGTTTATAAAAAAGGCAAATTCAATGTTTGTTGAGTGAATTTATCTATTTTAAAAGATTAATTTAATAATTATCGATTCTTTACTTAAAACTTTAGATCTACTAGATATCTGACAAATTAACATTAAAATAATTTATTTTTGCTCACACACAAACATTGAGTTGTCGTCCCAATTAGTTTAGCTAATTAACTTTTAAATTAACGCAAACAGATAAATCACAAAAGGAGCATGAAGTTTCAAATTCCTTATAAAGAAAAAAATTATCGCAATTCGTTATTGTATACTGTGGCCTTTCTATATAAAAAACTAAAAACCCAAAATATAGAACTAAAGTTCTCAACTTTTCGAATATTCAAAGTTTTTAACGCTTATTTCACACTAAGAATATGCAGTAAAGTTTGTTTTTGTAACTTTTACTATACGCCCTTAATTTTGATGATATTTGCACGATTGTGCTTAATGATTAGAATTTCATATTATTGTATCTAGTCGCTGTGGGGCGGAAATATTTACTTATGATACACAGGTGCAGTTTTTTGGGGTTAACGATTACGATTAAGGTTACGATTTTTATTCCTAGAGTCGTCCCTGAGTGATGACTAGATAGAAAACTCCAGTGTCAGTCCATAGGAGTAATATATGGGGATATTTTCGTTAATAGAATAACCAAAAAATGCAGCATATATATATATATATATATATATATATATATATATATATATATATATATATATATATATATATATACATATATTTGTATATATATATATATATATATATATTTTATTGAAACACTCATTTGCTAAATGCAAGATAGAGATTTAAAATCATTTTACTTTTTAAAGTAAAGTTTATTTCGAGTAACTAATATTTTCTAATTATAAAGAATTTCAGGTCAATTTTACACTTTATTAGATTATTATAGATGTGATACGCATAAATAATACACTCGAAATACTTATACTAATTGATAATATGCACTCTTTTTTATTCAATACTGCCAAATATGGCAAGCTGTTCATAAAACAGCATGTATTTATCATTAAAACTAATGCGTATCCTTTTGGTAGTTAATATTTTCGTTTCTATAGAAACTAAATTTATTTGGTTTAAGACATTTTTATTTGAGTAAATATCTAGCATATATAAATTGTATTTTTTTATTATTATTGCTTCAATATTTTACTGTATTAATAAAGCTATTATAATTATTTATTTTATAATATTACTTTTGATTTTATTACTTTTATTTTGTTGTTAATGTAGTTTTCTAAGGAGGAATTAACATCCTTGATTTTCAATACGTCAAACTCTCTTTACTAAATAAAAACTATAATGGTAGTGGTAGTGGTTAAGTAGTGATAACTTTATTATTATTGTTAAGTTTGCAATTGCAATGTTTATTTTTTAACAACAACAATATTAAATATACATAATATGTATGAAAAATAATTATGTAGAGTAACCGTTTTTTTTTAAATTTTTGTTTTAGGAACCCCAAGAAAATCTTACAATCTAGTAACAGAGCACTGCGTAAGAGCATTTAACAAGAAAGTTTCCGGCTACTTTCTTACCGATGACGCGAATATATGCCCAGAACTCGTTTCAAACTCTGGATCTCTAACTTCTAAAGCCACGGACGCTAACTATGAGGTCCAACAAAATAGGGGAAGGGGAAACCTTGCAAATTTTTGACAATTGTATGCGAGTGGGAGGAAGAAAGTCAAGAAAAACTGACGTTAACTATGTTACTTTTTAAAACAAATATATTTACTGTACTTAGAAAAGAAAAAAAAAAAAAAAAAAATTATTTCATTTCTATTTTATTTTCAGAATCAGGAATGAAACAGCCTAAATTAGAGTGTTTTCAGGTATCAAATACTTTAAACTAGGGTGTTTTATTCCCGATAATTTTTGAAAATGATTACGCTTATCACATATGGGGTAAATAATAATTTAAAAAACATCAGTAATTTTTTCAAAATTTTAAAAGTACTTCTATAAGACGCCATTTAAAAGTTTATCTTTTTTGCTTTTTTCGACATCAAACTTAATAACTTCAAAAATAATTAATTTTTTATTATGTTACTTGGAGTATAAATTAGGCATTATACATGTAGCAAGGCAGCCCCGTTTAGGGGGGTGGGGGGTGGTAGCCTCTAGCCCCCTACCCCCCCAATTAATTAGTTCGGATAATCACTTGGGATACCAAACCTTGATCATAAACCTTCTAACATGGATAATATGCTGTGAGATCTTAAATTCATCATTATTATTTTTACTGTATGTTATTTCTTTGCTAAATAACCACTGACTCTTTAGTTATAGACACAGGTATTATTAGTAGTTATGCTAGATGTCATTAGTCTTAGACACAAGTATTATTAATAGTTACACTAGATGTCATTATAATTGTCTTGCTTGATGTCATTTCAATTTTTTGTAGGTGTTGCTCAAAATCAACAAATGGAGAAAAAACAAACGTTTACAACGTAAATAAAATTTACAATGGATTAAAAGTGAAATAAGTTAAAAACAAAATAGTAGGAATGAAATTTTATTATTTTGATGATTTCTATCCTATTTTTGGGATATCCTACTTCATTATTTTTGGGATATCCTTTTTCATTATTTTTAGGAAATCCTTCTTCATTATTTTTGGGATATAAACATTCTTTATTGTATGTTACGCTCTGTTTTAGGGACGAAAAAATTACACAAATAAATAAAAATATAAATTTTCTATTTATTATCGTCGTAGCAAAACGTGACAATTATAATCATATAATCAGCATCTAAATTCAAAAACAAATAAATAAAATGGACTTATTATTAAAAATAATCTTAACGAGAAATTATTAAAAAGAAATTAGAAAATGTATAAATTATTACAAACTGTAAAAAGTAAAACTAAAATTCGTTTTTTAATTATTTTATTTTAGAGGATTTAAATAAAACAACAACTTCCAAACAATTTTTCAAATATATTCCCTACCTTACGTTAGTCATCGTTTTTAACAAAAAAAAGCTAGCGTTATTTAACGTTATAAAGGTGACGAAATTCGATTGTAATATATAAATTTTTTTTTTCTAAAATAAACTAGTAAGTATAAAAGAATCTCCGTCATTTTTAACAAAAAGAAAACTAAGAATAATAAAAAACTGAAACATCTGTTCTGTGCGTGATATATATATATATATATATATATATATATATATATATATATATATATATATATATATATATATATATATATATATATATATATATATAAATGATTATAATAATAAATAAATAATCGAGTCTAAACGAATATAAATAATGGAGTCTATTTAACAGTATTTAAAAAAAATTTAAAACCAAAAAGCAATTCAGGAGATTTTGAATTCGTTGGTGCGAAATGCTTTGATATAAACTAGAAAAACTTTTTAATTTCTATAAGTATCTGCAATGTTATTTGCGAGATCAGGAACAATAACTTGAAGATCTTGAGAGTTTAGAAGAGCACATTTTCCTGAGAAAATGAGTTCTAGCTCTTTCATTTCCTTAAGAAATCAGAAATATAATAATTATATAAAATTAAATAACTAAAACAAAACAAATAGATATGAATAATAAGATTTCAAAATAAATACTTACGTTAAATGTTTTTGAAAAAGGAGTGTTAGGCCATAACAAGTATTAACAATAATTTTGTTATGGCCTTTATTTATAAACTTTGATTTATAAATATATTTTGGATAACTTACATTCTCGTGTCTTTGATCAAGAAAATTTTTCATATCTTCATATTTTTGAAGCATTTCCTGTTTTTCTTTTTCTTGAAATCCTTCCAACTTTGACATAAAAGAAAATAGAAAACATATTTATTTTAAAGCGTATTTAAAGTTAACAATTATTAAGCCATCGATTAACTATCATCTGCAATGTTATATAAAGAAAAATAGAAAATATATTATTTTAAAACATGTTTAAAATAAACAATTATTTAGTCATCAATTAACTAATATTTATAATGCTAGAAATTAAAAAAAAATTGTTTTCCTCGGCCAATTTTTACAAATATTTATATATATATATATATATATATATATATATATATATATATATATATATATATATATATATATATATATATATATATATATATATATATATATACTTAAATATAGAAAAAACAACTTTTAATGGAACTTAAAGTTTCATGCCTATCGGCAATCATCAGCCATGAAGTACAAAATCAAAAATATAAAAAACCGTTTAAAAATTACAAACTATAAGTATAAAACGCTCTGTTTTTGAAAAACTAAATATTTCTTAAATATTGAGCACTCTACAACGATCAAGAGTTTAGTATTTTTAATACTAAATCATACAACAACAATATATATATATATATATATATATATATATATATATATATATATATATATATATATATATATGTATATATATATATATATATATATACATATATATATATATATATATACATATATATATATATATATATATATATATATATATATATATATATATATATATATATATATATATATATATATATATATATATGTATATATATATATATATATATATAAAATTGAAAATACATTATGTACGATGACATACTATTTATTTAACTATTAAAATTTTTTATTTTTAAATGTGATATTTCGGCTCATATAGTTGGAGCCATTTTCCAACCCATTTTCAGTTTCCAACTATGTGAGCCGAAATATCACATTTAAAATTAAAAAATTTTAATAGTTAAATAAATAGTATGTCACCGTTCATGATGTACTTTCAATTTTATATATAAATTAGCAAATTTGCATCAAGTTTACCAAATAGCAAATTTGCATCAAGTTTACCTAATGCTTCTGCAGCAATTTTGATTGTTTGAAAAGAGTTAAAACATTTTTTAAAACTGAGACATAAATATCGTTTAAATAGCTCTAAGGAGTTCAACTCATTTAAAGCTTTTTTCACTGTGCCCATCACTTTTAAATATCTTTCAACCATTGTAAAAATGCTATTCCATCTGGTCCAGCAATCTAGCAGTAAATTAAGTTTAATTTCGTGTTCTACTTTTACATAATCTTGTAAAATGGAATTTCTTTTAGGTAAATGTTTAATGTTGTGAATGTCTATTATTCTAATCATTTGTAAAGCCGCATTTTATCTTCTCTTTCACATATTTGCAGTTTAAAATTGTTTAGATTATCATTTTCAGATACGCTAGAGTTATGACTATTCATTTTCTAAAGAATCAATGTGACAAACATTAGGATTTTCATTTCTTTTAAAACAACGTCCATTACAGCCAAGTGTATGGCGTGGTTATAACATAATTTATGTAGAAAACCAGATAATCTACCAAATTTGATCATTACTGCAACAGCATCAATGGTTGATGCAATAACATCTTAATAGATAATTGCAAACTCTGATAGTTTCTTTTTAAATAGATCAATTGTTACTTCAGCTGTCCAGCTTTCATGAATTTTAACCAGTCCTAGATTAATAGATAATTTATTCAAATGAATATTGATATTTAAATATCTTCGATTGCGTAGAGTTGTCCATTCATCAAATGTTAGATGAAATTTTCCACCTTTTTCTTTATGTGATTTTATTTTAACAATTAGCTCATTTTTTGACATAGCACAATATTCATGAATAAGTTTCATCACATTGTGTTTATCTTTTGGAAGATGATTTTGGAAGATGTTTTTCATTTTATGCTTGACAATTGAACTCACTTTTGCATATTCCATGAATTAAAAATCCATCAACAGCCGCAACTCTGGCCACTATCTCTGCTAAGGACTGTTTTTTTAGAAAAAAATGATGCTAGAGACTCACTTTTGCAGTGATTGTCTCACAGTTACTTGAACCAGCAATTTGATTGTCATTTTAGTTTCTTTTCTTGATATTAATGTTATGAACATGTTGCAAATGTCTTAATAATCCACTTGTTGACGAGCCCTTACAACTTAATAACTTAAATACTTGGCTTTTCAAACACTTGGCTTGTTCGCCTGCTTTTTCTTTTGAAAAATATTTCCACACTTAATCAGCCATGATTAAAACTATGTTTTGACAATTCGAAACAAACAAAAAAATTCAAACTATTAGAACAAAAAAATTAGGCTTGGGGTTAAAGAAAATAATAAGAATATTTTGAAACTTACTTAACTTTGTCAATATTTCAAGAACTAAATGTTATTCGAAATTTCTTGAATAACAAATTTAATTACAAATTTTAAAGTGTAACTAGTGTTTTGTATTTGAAATTTATGCGTTTGTTTTGAATCATGTTTTACAAGCCAGTAGTGTATTAAGGTATATAAGGGGAGTATTTAGTGTATTAAGGTATATAAGGGGAGTATTTAGTGTTTTTAAATAATGACTTTTATGTTAGCTTTAAATCAGGTTTAATTAAAAAAATTATGATTTGATTTTTATATTTTTCTATACTATAGGTGACTTCTAATGTCAGATTATACTTATTAAATAGCTTCACGAACATTAATATATTATTGTTTTGAATAAATAACTATCCTAATATAATAAGATATATACACAAGTATTTCTTTGATTTTAATTTTTTCCCGGGAAATTATGGTAATTTTCCCAAGAAACGGAAAATATGAAATATAAAAAATTTCAGAAGCGCTTTTTAACTAACATCTGCCTTGTTGTGCATGTAACAAAATAATTTTCAAAAAATGGTCAGAAATGAAACATCCTATTGTTGATGTTTCCAGATGAGGAGATCAGATAAAGTAAGTATTTAATATTTAATAAGTATTTAAGTACCTAATATTTTTAAATTTATCAACAGCTTACTTTTAAAAAATAATTTTTTTTTTACTTTAGTTTTTTTTTTTTTTTTCAATATCCTTTATTTCAATCTTTTTAGGACAAAGCAATTGTTGCCAGGACATTGGGCTTGGATAAAGTATTGGATAAATAAATTGCTGAGACAGGCTCAGCTATTTGTTAAATACTAAATACCCTAATTCATTGATACTAAAGGCCCCAGGTTTTTTAAATGCCCCAGTTCATGCACAAATGACAACAATACTACAAAATAACTTATCTAAACACTGATAAATTTTAAAATCAAATTCTTACTTAAATTATAATTTTTAGTTACAATTATTAGTTACAACTTTAATTTATAATTTTATTTTATTTGAGACAACCTAAAAATTGTCAAAAAATTAGTAAAACATTCATGTAACTTATTTTTTCTTTAGAATTTTTCAGATCTTCTTTTTCTAGAATCGACAAACAATAATTTATACCAGAGACAAAAATCTAACCTTTTTTCTTTCTTTAACCGATTGTTCAATGTGATTTTTGCTCTGTATTTTCTTCATATTTTGAAGTTCTGATTTGTCTTGTGATTTGGACATTATCTCTTTTATCTCTTCTTGATTATATTTATCTAGGCCTTTAATAAGCGTTCCCATATCTCTGTACAAAGTTGACACCAATGAAACAAAGTTGATATTAGTAAAGCATTTATAATTTTGATTAAAAGTTAAATATTTTACCCTGAATGCCTCAATTTTAACTTTTTTCTATCAGCAACTTCAAACATTTGTAGTATTTTTTTCAATTCTGAAACTTTCTAAAAAAAAATAATAGAAAAAAACAAACAAACTGAGAAACAAAAAAAGAAGTTAAAAAAAAAAAAGACAAAGAAAAAAAAAAAACAAGTTTAATCTTACTGGTTCAACTTTCTTTTTTAAAAAGTCATACTGCTCTTCATAACATCGAACAAACTGTTCTTTCATTTTATTTTTTTGTTCCTTTTTCAAATTATTAATCTATCAATAAATTACCATAATAAATATCTTCATTACATAACTATTTTAATAACTTATCTCATTCATATAAATAGTTAGAAAATACCTCTTCCTCATAATAAGTATTTAATTGTTTCATTTCAGCTGAACAGTTATTGTATACTTCATTATAATTTCTAAAAAAAAAAAGAAATTGTTTAAAATCTTAAGTTGATATTTCAAAAGTGATGACCATTTTTTTAATTTCTATAAAAAATAAAAAAGTTAAAAAATGAAAGGTGGAAGTTAAGTTTAGGAGGAAAGATGGTGAATATTCAGTGTGGATAAAAAGGGTAAAAAAAATAAGATTGAAATGGATTGTGTCAATATGTTTTGTAGAATAAACAAATAGTAGAATAATTACCTTTTTTGGAAGAATAATTACCTTTTTTGGAAGAATAATTACCTTTTTTGGAAGAATAATTACCTTTTTTGGAAGAATAATTACCTTTTTTGGAAGAATAATTACCTTTTTTGGAAGAATAATTACCTTTTTTGGAAGAATAATTACCTTTTTTGGAAGAATAATTACCTTTTTTGGAAGAATAATTACCTTTTTTGGAAGAATAATTACCTTTTTTGGAAGAGAGAAAAAGTAAAAAAAAAAAGTACTCAGAAGTAAGATTGAAGAAAAAGATTAAAAAAGAAGATAAAATGAATTAAAATGGATAAAAATTAAAAAATGGATAAAAAATTATAAAATAGATTGTGTTGGTATTGTTATAAAAGCAGGAAGAAAAAAATGATACTAAAAACTTTGATTTTTGTTTTTCTGATTGCAACATTTTATATTTTAAAAACTTATCTGAGAAGAAAACAACCAATTTTATATCATTTTTAATCGATTACATAAATTGGAAAAGTCTTAAAGCTAGAATGAATTAAATGTCTAATTAAATCTCAGATTTCACCAATGAATTTAATGAACAAAAAAAAAAGAATTATTGTACTGTATATTATATAATATACTGTATATTGTACTGTAGTTAATATATTAAAGATGTTAATATTTTGATTATTGTTAGTATTATTATTTTCTTTTATTTATATTATTTTTGTTACGATCTAAATAACATAATATCATATTATTATATAATATTTAAGATTAATATATAACATATTACAATAATATATTATAACATATAACATTAAAAAAAAAAAATCTTTTGTCTTGAACTTTACAGTCTTGAACCTAACAGTCTTGAACCTTACAGTCTTGAACCTTACAGCCTTGAACTTTACAGTCCTAAACTTTACAGTCTTGAACTTAACAGTCTTGAACTTTTCCGTCTTGAAATTTACAGTCTTGAACTTAACAGTCTTGAACTTGACAGTCTTGATTTTAACAGTCTTGAACTTAACAGTCATGAACTTTTGAGTCTATTTTATTGACTATATTTAATCATAAAAAAAAAGAAAAAGATATTGAATAAACATTTTCTCCAGAAAAATCACTTTGTAAACTTTTTCTAATATTAGAGTAAGGAACTGAACTTTACAGTCTTGAACTTTACAGTCTGTAAAGGTCAGGACCATTTTAACCTTTTGTGATTTTTTTTTACATATTACATTACTTTTATCAAAATAATAAAAACAGTAATATACAAGATTTAGCATTTTTTAATATTATTATAAAGCATACAAACCCATTAGTTTCTGCTGTTTTAAGAAGTTTGTTTTGATTCTTTTGTAAAGCTGATTTTTTTTTCTCAAGATTCAAAGTTAACTTCTTTGTTTTAGCTTCTATTTCTTTCCTGCATTGAATTCGTCCCTAAATATAAAAATGAATATAAGATAAATAATTTACACATATATCCAATAGCTTATACATTTACGTTAAAATAATAATTGAAATTGCAATACAAATATTGTTACTAGTTACAATATTGTTTTATTTATGCATAATAAAAATTAATTGCAACAAAACTTTTTTCTTTCTTTAATCAATTGAAATGTTGTTTCTTAAATATAAAGAAGATTTTTATGTTCCATAAAAATTTTTTAGAAATTTTTCATTTTTAACTTAGTCAGCATTGTAGCAATTAATTTACAGCAGTAACAAGTTGGGAGTTTATGTTGCATATTAGTAAAGCCCTCCCATGTTTTGAGTTTATAAAAACTCGTATGACTAAATTCATAAAAACTTTTTATAACATAATTTTTAATCATTTTTAATCTTTTTAATTTCTAAACATAAGTAAACTATTACAAAGATTAAGTGGTTAACTGTTATAACTATTACAATTTAGTTTAATTAAAATTATTTTATGTCTATAGGTTATGCAAATTCTTGCAAAACTTAATGAAACTTACCTTAGTGACTTTAAAAGTTTTGTTCAAAACTAAAGTGAAGCATTTACAAAATTTGTACAGAAAAAAAGTGTACATCAAAACAAATATTTTCAACAACTATTTTGATGTTAAAAGTTGTGCGTAAGTGCGTAGTGTCATTTACTTAGTAAAATGGTGCATTCACTATAATGGAGAATGGGTAGAAATGAGTATTTGTGTTACAATTATCCAATTTTTTTCCATACTTGGCACCAGTGTCAATGTTAGCAGTGTATTCCACTTTTGTCTCAAAACAAAATTTTTATACTTGTTGAAAATTTTTATAATAACATGCTGACTATTTTGAGATATCAGGTATTGGTTGAAAAGTAAATAATAAACAATTGTACTATTATAACAAAGTGATTTTTTTTTTTTTCGCAAAAATATTGTACTCATTGTGCATTGAATATTTTATTCTAGTTGAGCAGCCTGGGGAGGAACTGAACTTTACAGGAATTGTAAAGGAATGAAACATTTCTTTGTGGGTAGGAGTAAACTGCAGGTCACCAATACTTATCGTAAACTTCACATTAAAAAAGCAATTGTTTACTTTGTTGTTAAGATAGTATAACACAAAATGTAAAAAAAAATTTTTATGAAGTTTATTAATTTTGTTTATTAATTATTATGAAGTATTAATTATTATTAATTTAAAAAAATTATTATAAAGTCTATTAATTTAAAAAAGTTAAAATTGGCGGTGAACTTTGTCACCATCGACCAATTTGTTATTTATCAACTTTATCATCATTCAATAATTGTATAATTATGTTATGCTTAGATAAACATTATTTAAGCATATAGTTAAGACATATTATTTAAGCTTTAGAGAGTAGGAACTAATAATTTACAGATAGTTTTCACTCATTAAACACAAAAAAATAATTGGTATAAATATATTAGGGTGTTTCAAAAAAAGGTCATGTCTCCAAAAAAAAAGAGCCCCAGCTTGTCATCTGCCTAAACCATGATTTAGCACTAAAAATTTTTTTTTTTCAATTTTTGAAAATCCTAAGGGTTCCTTCAGGGGGTTAAAGGGGCAATTTTTAGGGCATTTTATACCATTTTTAAAACTGTAGGAAGTCTTGACATTAAAATTTTTGAATTTTTTTTATATTTATGTTTGTTAAGACTTATTTAATAAAATGGGCTCTACTCTCAAAAAAAAATTAAAAACTCAAAAAAATTGTTTCAAAAACCCTAAAATCCATAAATATTTAACAAATAAAAATATTTTCACACTGTACATTTTTAAAATATTTTTATAAATAAAGTTTTAAATTTTTAAGTAAATAATATGTTTTCTTGAAAAATATTTATTATTAATTTTTTTTAGATTATATACTTAAATAATGAATAACATGCCACTGAAAAAAGTTAGAAGTATTGATTGAATAAAATATTTTTAGTTTAAAAGTTAATCCAAAAAGTTCCAGCAAAAAAATTTGCAACTGCTAAAGAAATTATTCAATATTATCTCTTTCTACGAAAATCAAAGTGTGAAGAAAAAGTGAAGTTCTTAGCAGGTTGTCCTAGCAAAAGTTCTTCTTTTATACCCTATTGTCTAGTTTATCAGTCCGACTGCTGCATAATGGTTCCTTGGATATTTGGTGGATTTAAAGTGCTTACAATAAAAAAAGCTAAAGTAATATTTTCAATAAGTTCTAAATTATTTTAATCTATGTTTATTACATAAATATGCTGTTGAATATTATTTTTACTGGATTAAAATAGAAAAACTGCTGAAGGAGTGGATGAAATTAAAAGATCAAAGACACAGAACAAATCCTACTGAATCAAAAAAAAGATATTTGTTTCAAGAGAAAATGAATAAGGTATTTTGGATTGGAGAACATTCTCATGTTATGTTTGAAGAAATATTAAAAGATAAAATGAGAAAAGTGAAAGACAAAGAGGAAGATATTACTTTCTTAAAAGACCAGCTTAGTGAAAGAAAAGGATGTCTTGTAGGTTGATATAAAAGATATGAGTATTCTGTAGTAAGAAGTAAAAGATGCACATCAAAGTTAAATAGAAATCCATCAGCAGAATTATATAAGAATGATTTAGATTACCAAAGTTCTACTAGTTACACTAATGATGAATTAGACGAGAAAACAGATGTTGACTTTGATTTTGATTTTGGAGCAAATCAAAAGAGTTTTTTTTGGAGTTGTTTTAGGCAAATACAAAAAAATAATAAATTGAATAAAAAAAATTAAAAAAATAAGTAGTTTTTTCAACTGTAGTGGTCCTCGGCCCTGGGAAATAAAATTTAGTAAAAAAAATAAAATATATTAATGCCAGGAGTTTAAACTCCTTGGATCAATTATATACTATATACTACTGCTACAATATTTCGAAAAGAAAAAAAATTTAATAATAAAAAAGTTACTTTTGCTTGTTTTTGCATCAAATTAAGAAAATCACTATCAAATTTCAGTTTCCATTTTTTGTACAGCTAAAGAAAATCTTATTCAAGTTAAAAACAATTTCAACAAATTCAACATTATATATTGTAAAAAATTCAATGTTGGATAAGCATTAAGACCCTTGTGTATTTTTTATCTTATTTTATGTTCTTATTTACAAAAAAACACTAAAATTAAAGAAAAAATAGTATATACCTTGTGTTCCTTTAATGTATTAATTGATAAACCACTAATTTTCAGGTAGTCTATAAAATCAAATATATATATATATATATATATATATATATATATATATATATATATATATATATATATATATATACAAACATAATAAAAGCCATAAAATGGCTTGTAAAAATAAACATAATTAAAGTCATAAAATTGTAAACAAACATTCTATATATACAAAAAGAATTATTCAAAATTATTTTACCAAATGTCATATATAACAAAAGAAACCGGTAAATCATATTAAATTGTAAGTATCACTTTAACTTGTTTATTCATATTGGGTTTTTCCCATCCTATATGAATGCTTTCTTTAATTTTTAATTCAGTTTTGTTTTTTACATGATTCAAAATTGAAAAGCATTTATCATTATAATATATATATAAATATATATATATATATATATATATATATATATATATATATATATATATATATATATATATATATATATATATATATATATATATATATATATACATACATTAGGGTGTCCCTAATTTTCAAAGTTTTTACTTTCTAAATCATAGGTCTTAAATAAATTTTTACCTTAATTGGAGTACAATAACCCGTGCCGACTAGCATTGAACCATTTTCATACAAGTTGCACAATAGTTGCACTTACTTGCGTTTTTTGTTAAAAGGGTAAAAATGCTCAGAGTGGTTTTTACAATGACAAAAAGTTAATAAATGAAAATAGATAATCAATACCAACTGATAATAATAAGTAGATCTATAATCATCTACTTACAATAATTGTAAATAGATCAATTTTGCAACATTGTAAAAATTGCTTTAAGTAAAATTTTAGAAAAATTCAGTTATTCTCATGACTAACACGTTTTTATTTTTAAGAAATTCGAAAAAAGTAAAATTCGAAAGCAATAAGAGAAAAATTTATCACAAAAAAAAATAGTTAAAATCAAGAGTGTATTGTATTTTAGGAAAAAGCAAGAGTCCCTACCAGTGCTATACCTAACCATGTAAAAACTTGTATACCTTCACCATGTTTGGAGAGAGTTGCAAAAAAAATCCAAAAAAACAAACAAGATATTTACAAGCACTGTGAGAAGAACTTTCGAAACAATTTAGATAATTTATTTGATATAGTACATGCTGATGCTTTGGAACGGATAAAAATACATAAACAAAGAGAACCAAGGCAAGAACGTCATGATCACACACCAACACTGATGAAAGCCCTGAGAAACCATTACTGTCAATCTCTCAAATAGTTCTGAAACTACAACAAAAAGAAAAAGGAAAACTATTAATCTAGCTGCTATTGAAACATACACTGATATTGTCAAACAACATTTAGTAATACAACATTTGAAGAATTTTTTATATTTTATAATCAAGAACTGCAAAAAACTATTGTACGTGATGATTATCGGAAATTAATTGTTAATTTTGTAGAAATTAATAATTAGAAGAAAGAAAAAAAAAATCAGACCTCTTGGAGCAATGCATTAAGCGAGGGGGATGGCTAGAGCTATTTACTCTTTAAGGATATGTTTCTTGCAATCCCAGATCAAAATTAGCACCAGGGATAAACAAGCACTTTGATTTTGTGTCTGTCAAGAGTATAAATTTATTTTCTTGATTAAAAATTAATGAGAACTTCCTCCAGAGACCCGTTTCAATGTGGGGTGAAGAAGTTGTCTATATAAAGGCAAAAAGATTTTTTTTTTTCCTTAAGTGCAGTTAATGATGCAGCTAAAAGAGCAGTAAAACTTATTAGAGATTTTCATTGTTTGATCACTACAAATGAAGAACAAAAACAATTTTCGCTACGATGTGTGCAAGAGCCTAGAAATCTGTATCTAGACTGTAAAAAAAGAGACTCTTAAAAAAATATATTCTGCTTGATCTGTAATTTTATATTCTTTTAATAAGTACTTTATAAAATGCAAGTGTATATATATATTATATAATAATAATTTCAATTGATTTAGCTCCATAACGAGAAGGGTTAAAAACAGCAATTTTGAAATCTTCAGAGTTCTGTTGGCATGCGTTAATTTTGTTGAAGGAAGATAAAACTTTGTATTTAAGTAAGTCTATTATATTGGCTACTTTAAATTTATTTTTTTTAAGAAATTTTTCATGAAAAAAGAAATTATCAAAGTTACGTCGCAATTCGGTATTTTTTTAACTTATAAAAGTGCAATTTTTTAAAAAGTGTAAACTGACACATAATCTAAAAAAAAATCTAAATTTGAGACATATTTTAATTGCGTCTCATATCTAGATTTTGTTACGTTATTTGGCCGTTAAAAAAAAATATACTACTTTATTTGTAATTTTATATTCTTTTAATAAATATCTTAATAAAGTTAACTGTTTCAATTGATGCAGCTGCATAACGGGATAGGAAGGGTTAAAAACAGCACTTTTCAAAATCTTCCAAGATATGTCGGCATGCGTTAAAGGGATTCCCAACTCCCAACACATGTTGGGTTCATATAAAAGATAATGTTAAAAAAAAAGGTTTGAACCAAGTTTTTTTGATTAAAAATAAATAATGAATGCATACCGAGAAAAACTAATGTTGTTGTTTTAGCTGAAGCTCGCCTTCATTTTTTCAATAACTTGTCTTTAAATTATACGTCGCAATCTACAGACTGTGGTGATTCCTTTGAAGCGCGTTTAACTCATAAAAGTTTTAGTACTTGACGCCACAATAGACTTTAAACAAATGAAACTCTGGAAATATTTTTATTTATTTTTATTCAAACTTTTTTTGATTATTTGTTTAGTTTTTTTTTTCTATTTTTAACATTTAAAAAGATATTAAAAACCTCAAATATTTTATGCTGGTTCGTTGCTATAAATTGTTATTGCGCCATATATTTAATGTTTATAAATTATGAATATTTATTATCTCAATCAAAACTTCGATAAAAAATTGTTTTTACATTAATTACCCGTATAAAATTCGTAACAGCATTTTTAGACAATATTTTGTCTCAATTTGCTTTGCATGAAGTTTGGGAAGTCAAACGAAAAAAATTAGTTTGAATAATTGCTTTGAAATATATTTAAAACAAATTATTTTAATAACGGGGTTTGAAAGTTTTTTATAACAAATGTAGGTAAAAAAATAAATAACTAAATAAAAAGTTCAACATTAAACATCATTTCTTTATTATAGTGCTACTGTAAATATTGAAATATTAACTTGAACTAAATTTACTTATTATTTAGAACAACTAAGCAATAAAAATAAAAAAAACCCTAAAATTATGTGAAATTGTGTTGTTTGTTTGATAATTGCTGTTGATAATGTTGTTTATGTTGATTATTTTCATTAATATCGAAATAGTCCTAGATTAATCTGTTAATTGTTTTGTTCATTGTTGATTTATTTCTAATTTTATTTTATCTCTAAGTATAAATTTATGTTAAGAAAGAAAAGTTTTTATTTCATCGCTCGCTCTTTTTATAAAAGAGTAGAACAAAAGAGAAAGAAAAGTTTTGCGTAATTAAACTTCGAATGAATAAAAGAGTTGTATAGAATATATATATATTTTTTGCGTCACTTGTTCTTTTTTTAGATGAGAGAAATAAAAGTTTAATAGTAACTTTTCTTTGAATAAATGAAAATTGGAAGAGAAAATTGCTTGAAAATTTGTATTTGTTGTGTTTTAAAATTTTTTAAATTTTTCATGTTAAGAGACAAATGCCAAATACGATACAAATTGGGAAATACCAAATATAATAAGTTTTTGAACGCGCGTTATGACATTTTGACAATTTAAATTACCATTTATCTTGAATTATTGCCATTAATTAATGTGTTAATTATTGCGTTATATAAAAATAATTTGTCCGTATTTTTGTTAAATATTAGTTGTATAAAACGGGCGAAAATATACAAACTTCATGTTTTTATTTGATGGTTATAAAATATTGAACAGTAAACTAATCAAAATTTATAATGCCGACTTGTGTTGTAATTAATTGTACTTTTAATGCAAAACCAAGATCTCACATATCCTTTCACGAATTCGCATATCTGATACTACTGTCAACTGTATTGTTTAGTGTATTCTTGTACTTTTTTTTCATAACCTTAACAGGTTCTAATTGGTATGGAGTTGCCAACATTTTAAAGGGATCCCTAAGTGCTCCTAACATATGATCTCATATGAAAGAGCATAAAGAAAAAATATGTAAGTTTTTTTTCTTTTTCACTAAATTGTAATAATAAATGCATGCTAACAAAAAGCAATTGCCGAAATCACTAAAAAAGTTAGTGTTAGTCGTTAAAAATCACGTTAGTACGTCACAACAACTTTAGAATATCTACTTCGATTTTCAAGTAAAAAAAAGTTGTGATTAAATAGTCAAGTTTTTTTAATTAGTTTTGCAAAAACAGTATAATAGCACTCGGTTGAAAGACGTCGTTAAAAAAAAGTTATTAAGTAATAGTTTTAAATAGTTTAGAACTTATAAGAAAGTCTTACAGAACTCGTATTAAGTGCGATTGCTACATACACTTTTGTGATTAGTTTTTTCGACTTGTTTTTTTTTTTGGTTGATTAATTACTTTTTTTCTAGCTTAGCATTTTTTTTAGCAATTCTTAAAAGTAATGTTTTTATCATAAAGAACGTCACACAAAATTTATTATTCTGAATAGATAGATGAATAGATGATTTGCTCTTTTGCGCAGAGATTTTCTTTCAACGTAAAACATTTTTCAATTTAAATTACTTTTAATCTCTGCGTGGAAAATTTTTACAAGGTCGTTAAGGCGAAAAGTTGAAAAGTTGGTTTTTATCTTTGTTTATCAAAACTTCATGTTTAAAATAAGGCTTAAAAACGTTAGAGCAAAAAAATTACTGACTTTTATTTGCATTTTTATACTGTTTGAAAAAAAAACTAATAAAAAAAAATTGTTATTATTATTAATTCTAATAATTATTAATTAATATATTATTAGTTAATTCTTTTTTATTAGTTTTTTTTTCAAACAGTATAAAAATGCTAATAAAAACCAGCAATTTTTTTACTTTAACGTTTTTAAGCCTTATTTTAAACATGAAGTATAATTCGATTTATTAAACCAAATTTTTTTGTTTCGCCTTTTATTGGAAAACTTGAAATAGAAAAATTGAATAAAAACATCAACCATTTAAATGAAAAACTTAATTATATTTAAACTTTTATTAGTACTTTATTCAAGAAACAATAAATTTTAAAAAACGTGGTATCTAATTTTTTATTAAGTTTTTGACAATGTTTTTTGATTTATTGATGATAATCTTTTCCCCCCATTACCGCACAAATTTTCGCGATTAGATTTTTTTGCATTAATTCTAGTTTAATTTCTGATAAAATGTCTATTCAACCTTATCAATTTGAACCAAAAAAATATAGCAATTTAACATAAATGTTAATTTAACTAAAACATTTTACAATAATTATTTTTTTTATTAAGCAAAAATGAGAGTAACCGTCACTTTTGAAACCATAAAAATTACTGAAATAAATTTATTTTTCTACTAAGGAAATGTTTTAAATAAACTTTCATGTGTCTATATTCATTATTCATTTGTTATTAACTGACTAAAAAGAGTTTAAAATTTGACTTCTATTCATTTTTAGCCGAAATAAAAAGAAATGAAATAAAAAGCTTTTATTATTATTGATTTTTACAAAAATTTGTTGTAAAAGTTGTTTTGCTGTATGTTAAAAAATTACTACATCGTACTTTTTGAATTAAAGTAGAAAAACGCAGCTTTGTTTAATTACACTTTTCTTTTGTTAAAAATCTACTGTGACATCAAATGCTAAAACTTTTATGAACTAAACGCGCTTCAAAGGAATCGCAGAAGTCTGTAGATTGAGACGTATAATTTAAAGACTCTGAGTTATTGAAAAAAATGGAGAAATCGAGCTTCAGCTAAAACAACAACATTAGTTTTTCTCGGTATGCATTCATTATTTATTTTTAATCAAAAAAACTTGGTTCAAACCTATTTTTTTAACATTATCTTTAATCAAACACAACATGTGTTGGGAGTTTGGGATCACTTTAATGTTGTTGTACGAGGATTAAATTTTGGATTTAAGTAATTCTAGATAGTTTAAAAAGAAATACAGGGTATACATTTTAAAAATGAAAAAAAAAAAAATTTTCTAATATAAGTTACACCCTAATACACACACACACACACACACACATATATATATATATATATATATATATATATATATACATACAAATATATACATATATAAATACACATATATATATACACATACACACACATACACACACACACACACACACACACACACACACACACACATATATATATATATATATATATATATATATATATATATATATATATATATATATATATATATATATATATATATATATATATATATATATATATATATATATATATATATACTAGAGCGCAATTAGACTACTTTTTTGACTTTAGCGTGTTTTTCTTTGACTTAAAACAGCAATTTTATGATTTTAAGTACGTATAATAGCGCTTCCCTTATAATATATGTATATATATATATATATATATATATATATATATATATATATATATATATATAAACTTAATTTTGCTGTGTGTATATATTCAGCTAGAGTGCTTGCTTAATAATATCAGATCTATACAATTGATTTTTTGACAAGATTAAATAAAAATAGTTTTTGCTATTAAATGTTTCATGCGTTTTGCAATCATCAGTTGAAAAATACATTTTTTTCATTAAAAAAATATACTCTTAATACACATCATGACATTCAAAAACAATTATAAAACTGTTACTTTTTGCAAGATTTAGTTTATTAATCTTTGGGCTTGTGGTTGTCAAGCAAGAACTTGTTTTTGTGACAGCACTTAGATATTATTTCTGTTTTTTCATTTAATAATTCTTGAGTACCTTTGATGATATTATGGAAAGTTTTTCATGAAGACAAAGCAAGAATTTTTTTTGTTATGTTGTTGTAGGCGAGAGCTTGTTTAATTATTGACCAGGTAAATTTGGGTATTATTTTTTAGTTTTCTTTTATCTGCCATATATACTTTGAAATGGTGGTTGAATTATTCAACTTTTTGCTTGTGAATGAGTGTTTGTGGTCAGCCCATCTTTTTTTTCATTCACCTTCTGCTAGGCCCATATATACTTTTTCTGGAGTGTTAGGGGGATACTATACATTTATAAATAATATTATTTATATAATTTATTTATGCAATTACAGGGTGGGTATTCTTTTGATTTTTTTGAAATGATTTTCTTGGTACACTGAAATTGGTATTTTTGGTGCAGCTGTAACTCACTTTGATGCTATTTTGATTGAATAGTTTACTTAAGGGGTGGGATGTTGAAAAACTTTGTCAATTAAGTTTAGGAAGATATGTCTGACATTGGTAGAAATGCTTTTACTATATGAGGGAATCAACCATATTATTTTTCTCTTTTTTTTTTTTTCTTTTTTGGGGGTTATACTTTAAATTAAAACCAGTGAAACAATTTCTTCCTAATGTACCTTTGTATTCGGTATATATATGTATGTATATATATATATATATATATATATATATATATATATATATATATATATATATATATATACATATAATGTACATATAAAAAAATATATACAATAAAATGTTTACATAAATAAAATTTTTGATAGCGATAAAAAAGTCAATGACATTTTTGAAATTTTAAAAATATTTTTCATTTGAAATTTTTTTCACTGAAAAACTATTATTCAGCAATGTTTCAATCAATGTATCTTAACTGCATACATTGGTGCAAGAGGTACTGCTGCCCAAATTATTTTCCTAGAATAGCCCTTGCATATATATATATATATATATATATATATATATATATATATATATATATATATATATATATATATATATATATATATATATATATATATATATATATATATATATATATATATATATATATTCATTTTATTCATTAGTAACAAATTAAGGAAAAAAAAATTATGTGCTACCACTAGATGTGTCTTCTCCTAGTAATTTTGGAGTGCTAAAAGTTCTTCTGATTGGTTGTTTAGGTGATTCTAGTCTTCCAAGCGATTGAGATTGTGAGCGTTTTCTTTTAGTCTGTTTCATGGGTTCTAAAAGCATTATTTTGTATTTATTAAATAATAATTTCTTTTGCATATATGAACTTAAATGTGACTAGTAATATGTAAGTGACAATACAGTAGTATACAGTGACACCTGTCACTTGCATATTACTAGTCAGTTTTTATTTAGTTTTTTTAACTTGAATAATAACTCAAAACTTTTATTTTAAGTTGAACGTATGAAATTCTTTGTACCGAATTTGAAATAAACACAAAGTGTTTATTACAAATTCAGTAATAATATATTATAAGTTTTGATTCAAGTAATAATATTTAAGTATATAATATTAGTTATATTCAAGTAATAATATATTATAAGTTTTGATTTTGTCTGATGTTTGTTAAATTATTTCTATTGTATACTTTAGAATAGTACAAATATTTATATAGAAAGGATCAAAATTTTTTTTTAATAAAAAGTTTATTGATAGTCGAAATGAAAGAAATAGGCAAAGTGAAATTAATTATCTACAAAATGTAATGTACAGCAAGAAGTTTTTTTCAGATTATGATTATTTAGGAGATAACTAAATTTGTCAGCATTTAGGAGATAACTAAATTTGTCAGCATTTAGGAGATAACTAAATTTGTCACCATTTTCACAAATTTTAGAAGTCAACAACCCAGCAATGATCTTTGCTTTTATTTTCAAACTATAGTTAGTAAACAGTACAATTTAAACAATTTGCCCTTGCATTTAAAAAAATGGCTAAAGTAGAAGATGAAGAAATTCCCTAAGCAGCTATAGAAGGTCACTCAGTTTTAGTTGCAATAGATCAAATAATCAATAGATCAAAGATTTAATCTACTTAATAACCTACTACTAAAGTGAAAATTTACTATCAATTGTTTGTTTATTTTTCTGTTTAGTTGACATAATAAACTTTTAAACTTTCTACCACTTCTAATTAAAACAGGTAGAAAGATTTTTATTTTTTAAAAAGTAACTAAAATGTTTTTTTTAAATTTTGATGTTGTCTTTAAAGTTGAAGGTTTTTATAATCTTAAACTTAAAGCCCAAGAACTTAGGTTCTACTTAAAATAATATTGTAAATAATAAAGAGAAGTAAATAATAAAAAGAAGTAAATAATAAAGAGAACTAAACTGAAATTCTTAATACTTTAGGTAACTTCAAGTATTTTAGCTTTATTTTATTTATTCTTAGTAAGAAATAAGATTTTTAACAATTTGTGTCAAGAAAGTTTAAATAAATTTATATTTTTTTGTTGATCAAGAGAGAGCCAATAAAGGTATTATTACATTAGTTAGTTGAATGTGACATTTACTATGTATTTAGTAGATATTTTAATGACTATACATCTAAGTGCTTTTATCATTGTTTACACACAGAAGTGAAGAATAGAATCAGTCAGTGTTTTTGCTATTAGATATTTGTTAATAGGAATTTGTTTATTTGTACTGTAAGTGGAATTTTAAAACTTCAAGTACTTTAGCTTTATTTTCTTTTTTTTTTGGATAGTTGGAACAAAAACATAAATTATATGATTAGTATAGTTAAATAAATAAATTAAGCATTTATTTAATTTAAAGTTTATTTTAGTTTATATTTTTAGTTGCAGTTGTTTTTTCTTACTTTAGACAATTTTATGAATGAAATGAGGGAGATGGGTAAAACAATTATTTTTTTATATATATTTATATGTTAATATTATTATATCAATTACTTTAAGGTACATTCTTTTATCTTTAGTGTCTGGTAGAAGCATAACTGGTAGAGTTGTGTTTTATAATTCATATATTTTGTATAGAGAATATGTGTAATAGGTGGAAAAATTATTGAATAAATATGACATATATTTTTCAATTGGTAGGGTTATACTCTATATTTTTATTAAAATAAAAAATTTAACATGTTTAAATGTTTATCCCTTTTTAATTTAATCTATTTTATTTATTTTTTTAAACTTCTTTAGCATCGCCTTCTGATTTAAATAAAAATGGTGAGGGTATACTTCATATTTAGATTAAATAAAAATGCAAATACGTGTAATTTTTATTATATTCTTTTATTTGTAACTTTAGATTCATTAATTTATGAAAGATATCAAGCCTATCGTTCTTAACACCCAGGGCCTCTCTCATAGAGGTCCCTCAATAAGTGATGGTGAGAATGAGCCCTCTTTTAAATGGAGAGCTAATCCATACTGGGGTGTTGGGAGACACTGAAGAAAAAACAGCTTCCAGCTACTAAAGTTATAAAGTCTTCTATCAGTGAAGATATGACTTTTTTGTTACTACTTTTTCTTCTGTTTTTTTTTTATGTATATGTAATATTATGTTGTATATGTAATATTATGTTGTATATGTAATATTCTGTTGTATATGTAATATTATGTTGTATATGTAATATTATATTGTATATGTAATATTATGTTGTATATGTAATATTATGTTGTATATGTAATATAATGTTGTATACTTGATTTGTTTTGATCTTTTTTAATTAGAATTTTAATTTTTGTTTCACTAGTTAAACCTAGATTCTATAATATAATTAAATTAACCAATTATTATCAAAGTATAATGATGCTGCATTCTATTGTTTTATTATTCTAATATATTAATGCTACATTCTAATGTTAAAAATCATCAGTTGGTAGTTTCATTTATTGAACTCACTGAGTTCAAAATTTACTAAAAGTCAAGACAATATAATTAGCTATATAAATATAATTTATTTGATCTCAATTTGATTATTTATCTTTATTGTTTATAGTTTCGCTCCTTGAAAAATTTTATAATTTGCTTTTTAAGTATTAATACTTAAAATCTATAGTGATGTCTTATAAGTTTACTAAACAGGAACATGAAATAACGCCATTGAGCAACACCAACAAGAACTGCTGCATCACAACAGCAACTGCAGTATCACAACAGGTTACCAAAAGAAGGTAAATTGTTTTTTTTTCTTTTATACCTACTTTTAACTACTATTTAACTATCGGTTACAATTTTTATTTTTATTTTTTTATTTTAGATGTGTCATATGATGCATTAATGCAATATAAAAGAATAAAGATTACATATTTTCTTAATTTGTTATACACATGTTTTTTTTTTTTTTTTGATAACTCACCTCAAGGCCGAGAAGGCTACTACAGACGAGGAGACTACTTATTTGGAGTTATAACCCTCTTTCAACTCTATAACTCCGAAATACGAACCTTGACAAATAAGTTGAGCGCGGTACTACCAGGGACGTGGTGGGGATCGAACTTGGAACCTCTCGCTTAGGAAGCGAGCGCTCTACCATTACACAACTACCGCATCTTTTTTTTAGATTAAAAAATTTCTGTTTGAAACGTATTTGTCATCAATTGCTTAAATATTTTTAAGAAAATTTATTAAGTTGTGTGCATTTAACCCTTTTAAGATAACAGTTTTCTTTTTTAAAAAAATATTAATCAAATAAAGTTGGCACACTAACTATTAATGCTAATTATTTAACAGACCATGACCTGTATTATGGGCTTTCTGCTTGTTTATGTATAAAATGTAGTGGCAAATATGCAACTTATTTGCTTTGTTTTTTCAACATTTCTTTTGAATATTGCTTCTTAAATTTAAGCAGTTATTTTTTTATTTAGAGCAATATTAGGTTTATTTGCAATTAGCATATTGTGCAAAATTTTACTAAAATATAATTAGAAATTATTTCAATTCTTCATTTTTTAATGCAACATAAATGTCAAAAATACTTAATAGCCAATAAACTTTCGTTTGTTTCATTAAAAAACAATTTTTTTTTTACTAACCAATAAAAATATTTTCAATTAAATTTATATCCTAGCAAACTTGTGATTACAAAAATTAGGAGATTCAAATATAAATAAATTACACAATAAAAACTGTATATATAATGTATTTATTTGGCAGTATAATAAACCAGAAATACTAAATATTTTATATGTACCTCAATCACTAAGTCACTTCAATTACCTCCACAACAGTATAAAAGAATCAATTATCTCCACAAGAGTAAAAAAATTCTATTTAGTAACGACAACATCTCCACAATAGTAAAAAAATTCTATTTATTAATGACAACAACTCCAAAAGAGTAAAAAAATTCTATTTAGTAACGACAACATCTCCACAAGAGTAAAAAAAATTCTATTTAGCATTATTAAGATGTTTAGTTTTGAGTTTATAATTAGTATTGAAATTTTTTTTTTATATCAATCAAGCAAATGAATAATAAATAAATGAATAAATGCAACAACAACAAAATTATTCAAGTGATGAAATGAGTATTAACAATAACATATTTTATTGTCTTATTATTAAACTCAAACTTAAAAATATCAACTAAATATAACTGTGCGTGTATTTAACTTTTAGGTACTATATATTATTTCAGTAGAAACCAAGTATAAAAGTTTTTAACCCAATAAAATTTTTAATAAAATCAAGTAATAAAAAAAAAGTTTTTAGATGTTTAATTTTAACATTTTAATGTTTTAGTACAATACAGATCAACATCAAAATTGTCAAGCTCTATCTGGATAAACGTATTTAAAATGCTCCAGGTTTGCTGATGGAGTGTGCAGGCAGAACACCAAGCCATGGTGTTCTGACTGCACCAACACCAAGCCATGGTGTCTATATAAAGATAACTATCAAGATAATTGGTGTCTATATTATAAGAAAGATTGTTAAAATAATGTAACAGGCTGACTTTAACAATGTCTTCATTGTGACCAAGAAGCTCAAAAAATACCTAACTTTAAAAATATTCAAAACACTAGCTCTACCTAAAGGGCAACTACAAAAAGAAGATGAACAGTTTATAAGAGAGCAGTGCTTCCTTCTCTATTAAAAAAAAAAAAACTTATTTGATAAATTGATATTTAAACAAGTAATCAAACTTTCGGTCCAACTCCAATTCCAAAGATTTGGAGTTGAAGTCAGACTAAGTACTTGTCTTTTGACTTTTTTTTACTAGGCTGATGGATTCGACATTGATATCTCAATATCAATATCAATTTTAAACAGGAAAACATATAATGTTGTGAAGTCTCAAACAGATAATTATCTGTCCGATGAGCATCTCTCTGATTATAATCAGAGAGAAAAACTTTAATAAAATAAAAGATTTAAAAATTTTGATACATTTTGATACAAAAATTTTGAAAAAATATAAATTGGAAAAGGGAATATCTGAAAATAAAAAAAGAGTTGCCTAAAGCCCATTTTTACCAGAGTCTTGTCTCCTTTACATCTTAGAAATTAAAAGTTACAAGGGAAGTGATGACACCATTGCAATTTAAATAATGCTTGATTACTATGAGATGTCTGATCAGATTATTCAATTGTGTTAAACCCAATAATTGTATCAAACATAAATGCCATAAATTCTGGTAACAACTGGGAAAAGTGCTATAAGCATTATTTCCTATGCTCAATGTATAGATATATATAATATGTATATATTAGACTAGACCCTATGTATATATTAGACTATGTATATATTAGACTATTTTTATTCAACAAATTTAATAACTATTTTTATTTAACAAACTTTATAATTATTTTTATTCAACAAACTTTATTTATTTAATACTAGTTTTTTTTTTGATAAAATATTTATAGTTATTTTACAATAACAACAACAGCAAATTCAAATAAACAAAAAACAAAAAAACAAAGAAAATAAGCTAAAACTTCAAATGATTACAACATTAAAAAAAAAAGTTAACATCATAAATTTTACTATTGCAAAATTTACCAGCAACATATTTGTCTTTTTGACCTTGATAACTATCTGCTTGCAATGAAATTTTACTCCCGTGTTTTACTAAATTTTGTGGTTCTTGTACTGTTACTTTTAAGATATTTTTATTTGTTGTTGGAACCTAAATTTAAATATGATGCAAAACAATGCATAAATAAATAAAAATGTAAATAAGCATATAAAATAAAAATAAAAATTTAAACAGCAATCGTAAAACAATGGGTTAAACCATGGTAACCCATTGTTTTCAGATCAACATAGCTCAACACTAGAAATACAGGTTTTATCTTTTCTCAAGTCCAAAAGAGAAGAAAGATGTAAAAAAATATCCTTGAATGCTACTTTTGTTTTCATTTATCTTAATTGTTGCTGAAACATTTGTTTATAAAACGTTTCTGATATGGTTTTAGTATGCATATTTAAATTTTTCTAAACTTATAACTGACCATATTGTTTTGGGGTTGTGTCTAGTTTACAATTAAAAGTAAAATCATAACTTATTATTTTACAGTTTTAAAAACTGACATAAGAAAACTGTATCAGGTTACTTAATGCTGTATTTACTGCTTACTGTAAAAACATATTACACCTTTTTTACATAGTTTCCACTGTCTATGGAAACTATGTAAAAAAGATATAAACAACCTGTAAGGCTGTTGAATCAGATTCTTCAAATTCAAATGCTTCTAACTGTTGAGTACGCTTCTCTTTTTCTGATAAATATTTCATTGGATTTGATAGAGCATCAGCAAAATCTGAATTTAAATTTAAATTTTATGATAAAATTAAACTGCATAAAATTTAAACTATATAATAAAATAAAAAATAACTAATACAATTATAACTTTATAAAATAAAACTGCATAGAATAATGTAAATATTAAGAAATATTTTTTATTAGTATATAATAAGATAATTTTAACCTGAAAAACTTTCAGGCACATAATCTTTGGTAACAATATCAACAAATAATGTTGGAAGACATAATGGTTGATATGATTCATTTCTCAACTTAATATGGCGAAAACCTAATTTAAAAAAACAAACACAAAATGTAATAAAATAATAATAATAATAATACTGACCTCTCAAGAAAACCAACAATAACAAAAAAGAAACAAAAAACATTTGTAAAATGAAATTTTTTCTTATGTATCCAGAATATTATAATCTTATTCACCACAAGTGCATGTTAATCAACTTCATACTTCTTTTCCATACTTCTTAACCAACTTCATACTTCTTTTTATTCATCAAAACTGTGTGTTAACCAACTTCCTACTTCTTTTCCATTTAGTAGGCTGACATAAATATTTACTTGTATTACTTTGTCAAGAATAATGAATTCTGGTGTCTTATTGACCTAATCGATGTGTTTTAGCATGTGTTTCTCTGTGAGTGACAAGGCTATCCTAATGGGGATACTGCTATAAACTCAATTAAATAACTTTTAAACTCTGTATCAGCTCTTAGTGACTAATTCTATCAACAGTGTTAAAACTTTGGATTAATAATAGTAACATGTTACAATGGGTGATGTTCCTGCACATGGCAGGTATGTGGGTTTTTAAAGTCTATGTTACAATATTGCATTTATCAAAATAAATAAGGCTGTTGCACAGTTTGTTACTTATGATGTCAAGCACTATCCACATTCACATTTACTTTATTTTTCTTTTAATGCTTTAAATCAACGACTCTATTAAATAAAAATACTTAACATAATCACTCTATGGTTTAAATCTTCCTCTAATATTCTCAAATTGTTTTTATAAAATTAATTAAGACTTATCTTTTGCAAAAATCACCATTAAATTTAATCAATTAACCAGTGCTTAAAACGAGACAGAATGTAGCAGGGTGAAATACACCTTTATATAAATCTCCTAATATAACAATGATTAGATTGGATGGTATTTTTAATTTACTGAAAACTATCCCGTTACTTTTTTTTTTCAACACTTCAAGCACTGTAATATATGATTCAACTCATGATATCACATCTATCCAAAAACATATTCTGCATTAAAAAAACACAAGATTTTTGATTTATAAAGCAACTGATTCGTTAACAAAAATAGTAATAACAGAAAGATTTTAATGTGCATCAGATAGAAATAAGGGTAACATTTTTGAAATATTAAAAGTCTTTAACATGAGCTGCCTTCATATGGTAAGGTTTTTAAACTTTAAAATCATTTTTCTCTAATTGAAATACTCAGCATATACAGTCTTTACAGAAATATACAATCACAGATAACATAAGACATTATTACACAAATGTATAACTACACACTTACTGTTTTTATTACCCAAATACTCACAGACACACAAAACCACATTCACAAAATTTTCATCCTAGGTTCATAATGTGAGCTTTAAGAGAAAATTTCATGAAAATCTTACTAAAAAAATAGCTAATTATATAGCAACAAGGCAGTAAATTATATTGACACTAAAAAAAGAGATAAAGTCTATATGTTTAAATATTTTAGTAACACTGTTTTTTACTGTTAGTAACTAACAGTACTATTTAATCGACAAGCCAAATGTGAGGTCAAAGAAATCCCATTGCTTTTGGTCAATAAAATTTTTGCATTGTTTAAGAACAAATGATTTATATACACACATGTTGCTTGTTGATAACACGCTTAATTTTATATAAACGCATGTGTCTTGTCGATATTACGCTTAATCTTATATCATATGAATATAACTATAGTATATACTTTAAAACATTTTTCTATTATAAAAAAAGTGAATTTTAAACACCAGTCTTTGATTAAAACATTTATGAAAATTCTTTGATTCTTTCACCAAACTCATTAATCATCAAACTAATGTGTATACATATAATACATTTACATTATAAAGATCTTCGCCTTTCCTATAACATTTGTACTTGCATATATTATTTTCATGTCAGAAAACATAATAGTTATTTACAAGTATAATACTTTCAATTAAACAATATAACTTGCTGACAACGAGTATAAATATTCCTTCAAATATATTTAGTTTAATCCATAAAAATATTTTTTTGTAAGAAGCATGCCATAAGTATAACTATTTGTTTGTAATAATTATGAATAAGTTTTATACTTTTTTATTCTAACTTAATGCGTATGATATAAAGTTACTAAGCATGCTTAAAGATAAAGATAATGCTGAATTTTTTACAATTAGATTTGCATAAAGCTATGGAGCTATCAAATGAATAGTTGTTAAATTTAATACTAACAAGTGTGCAGTTATTTATTTGTTTATACTAACAAGTGCGCAGTTATTTATTTGTTTATACTAACAAGTGTGCAGTTATTTAATTGTTTATACTAACAATTGTGCAGTTATTTATTTGTTTATACTAAGAAGTGTGCAGTTATTTATTTGGGTAATTAAAAAATTACTGAATGAACAGTTACTCTAGTTGTTGCTTTCACTGGCATTATCTAAAGACCATGTTGCTTCCAATGTGTTCCCAAAAACACCCTTTTGGGGTGTTTGGTTGTAGCTTTGGTGTAGCTACTAAACAAGTCCAGCAAAAATTGACAAAATGTTTTACTTAATCATGCATTAAATGATCACATGTCAAAAGATTTGACCTTCGTACATTTTCACATTTGAATTAAAATAAACTCAAATTTAAGCAGTCAAAAAAATTAAAAAAATCAAAACAAAGTTAGATGCACACCTGGCAATAAGCCATCCACAGGTAATATTCTGTGACCAATCATTTTTCCATTTTCTTCATATACTGCTATTCGCAGCTCAGCAAGATGTGGTAAAATTACCTTAAAATATATATATATATATATATATTACATTAAAAAACTGTTTTTATAATTATTAAAATTTAACTATTACAATTTCTTAAAAAAAAAAAAAAACTTTTCCAACTTATATTTGTAAATAATAATCAGAAACAGAAAAAATATTTACATGTCATTTCAAATTACTGAAAAAATATTTACATATTTTTTCAAGTGCAATAGTCAAAAGCAATAGCCTT